TTCTCTCAACCAATATGAAATCGGCTGGATTGCCGATTTGGTCGATTCTAATAGCCCAATTGGTTGATTCCAAATTTGTGTCATTGAGTGGCGATCAACCCCAAAGATCGATATTCTGAGTCGTCGGCATAAAGAGGATGAAAGGCTTGAGAGAGAAAGAGAGAGGAGGGGAGAGGGGGCAACATTATGTTCATTTGCAAAAAAGGGGAGAGAGAAAGAATGGGAGAGGGAGAGTCTTGCAGAGGAGGAGAGGAGGTTGCATTTAAAATTTGGAATCCTGATACTACTCAAAAAACTGAAAGGGATTTCAGAGATGGAGATATGTGTTTTTTAGAAGGATCATATGTTTTGCTACCATTAATTTTATTAGATTTTTGGTGTTCAAAGTTCAAATTTTCAGCTGCATACCCATTATTTGAAGTATTTTTTGGTTGATCTTCCTATCACAGCCTGAGCCATGAGAGAATCACGAGAGAGAGAGTATGAGTGAGTGTGTGTGAGAGAGAGAGACTGTGTTTGGGATTCTTTGGGAGAATGAGATTTTGGTTTATGATGGGCGATAAAGAGTTTGGTTGAGAGAGGGGAAAGAGAGATAAAAAGCAAGGGAGATTATGTTTTTGAATTAGAGTAGGGAAAGATGAAGAGAGAGTGTGTCTCTGGTTTGGGTGAAAGAGAACTGGGGCTTTTGGGTGGGAGAGAGAGAGGAGAGAATTTGGCATCGACATGACAGGATGAAGGAGACGATTGATACTCCTTTATCATATCCTCCTTTTTCATATGATAGGCTGTTGGCGATGTAATTGTTGCAGAGAGGATTAAAATGGTCCAATCTTGTGTGTGGTTTCTTTTAGTAAAATGTTGTAGAGATTGAAGTTTTTCAAAGGTGGGTGGATAAAATATGGTCTTCTTTACCAAGTCTATGTAGGAGTTTACCTTATTGCAGGAGATTGAAGTTTTCCAAAGGTGGGTGGATAAAACATGATCTTCTTCACCAAGTCTATGTAGAAGTCTACCTGGTGGGAAGATTATTTGCTTTCTTGGATCTGCTATTGAGGCTAGTAAATTATAAATCAGAAGCTTTGAAGATTTCGAGGTATTGATTTAACTGTTGAGAAATGGATCCTAACCTTAAAGACTTCTTTGATAAAACCAATAATGGTTTGGTATTAGAGTCAATGGAATCCTAGTAATAACTTGGTCGGTTGAAGTGTTTAAGGAGGTCACTAGACTATGAGGATATTTGCTCAAAATAGATTAGACGAACTCATCCTATCATGAGATCACTTCAAGTGGAAAAGGTGGGTTTTGATTATCCAAAGAATTGCCTTCTTAAAGTAGGAAGTTTTGACTTTCTACTATCCTTTTCTGAAGTATCCATAGTTGATGGCAATGTGGTGAATTAAAAGCAGATGGAGTTCAAAGGGCTGCAGCTGAGGTGTGGCAAACAAGAAAAATAAAAAAGCTGCAGTTTGCGCAATGACGTCTTTGCAAAAGGGTCGAAAGGATCTGGTGCCACATCACAACCTCACTTCAAATCCAACTATTCATCAAATAACAGCTCCATTTTTAAGAAAACGGGTGGTTACAAAAAGGGTGGTCAAATTCGATGGTAACAGGGCGGCAAATTTTAAAATTCAAAACCAGAGTCCACATCCACCATCCATCTCCCAACCTAACCCTTTTCAGCCTCTCAAGGAATTTACCTTTTTCATGAATGACACGTTGGGAGACTTACAATTTCCAAAAATCTTCTCGCCAACCTTGGGAAACCATGCCCAAATAGTTCTTCCTCAAGCCTAGACTAGTTTATGAGGAAAGAAAGGAAAGATGGTCAATGAAAGAAGGATTATGTTGAAACACTCGGCCTCCAAACCTCTCAAAAAATCCCTAAGAAAGGCTGGGCCTAGTAAACCTACACTTCTGTTGTATGAGGTTCACGCAAGTGATGGTGAAGAAGATTCTACTGTGGACAGTGATTTTGAAGAACTTTTGTTCTTGGTAAATACCAAAGAAAATACAGAGAAATTTCAATTTGAGGATTCACATCAGCCTTTGGTTGCTCAACCACTGGCAATGCGACTCCCGCATAATGTATTTGAGGATGCTGGGGAAGAAGTTGAGGACACAGGTGAAGATGAAGATGTGGTAGAGGAAGGTAATTTACCTTTAATCTTGCATCCCATGGAGGTAGGACATGTGGTGAATGATATGCACTTGCAATACTGTGAGCCTTTGGACGCAATTGTTGAACCTTGATGCAATGCATAAATGTTGATGTTGCAGCCCATCAAAGTGGAGCAGAGTCGAAGAAGGTAAAAGGAAAGGGTAGTATGCAGCGAGAACTGGATAACTTGGTAAGCTCCATTAAGTACAACAAAGGTAAAAGGGTGTGTTAGAGCTTCATCAGAGTGTTGCCTCCCTGTGGTTGTCGATCCTTCTTGGATGGCCAATTGCAGTAATGGATATTTTTCTGAATGAAGATTTTATGCTGGAATATCCAGGGTCTTAATGGGTTTAGGAGAAAAAAGTCTCATGGTTTTTGTCAAGCTTGAAAAGCCTAAAATTTTGATTCTACAGGAGACCAAAATGAATGCCCCCGAACTTTCAGAATGCTAGGGCTATTTGGAGTAGTAGAACTATTCAATTTTTGGGTTCAAATGCAAATGGTAGATCTGGTTTATGGCTTATCTGGGATCCATCAATTTTGAATGGAACTAGTTATGTTATGACTGATAAGACATATTTCCATCATATTCACCAATATTTCATCTGGCTTTCAATGGTGCTTAACTAATGTATATGGCCCTAACTGTAGTCATAAGAGAATGTGTTTTTTATTTATTTATGAATTATATTCTTTATTCAATTCCTTGAATGTTCTTTAGTGTATGGGGGGAGATTTTAATGTTATCAGATGGCCCAGTGAATCCTCTACTTCTCCTTGGATTTTTGCTTGTATGTGGAATTTTGATAGTTTCATTCATAACAACGAATTGATTGATATTCCCTCATCTGGGGTTTGCTTCACTTGGTCAAATCATTCCCATGCAGACCCCATTTTTACCCATTTAGACATATTCTTGGTTTCGAATTCATTCTTAAACCAATTCCCCAAACTTTGCATACAAGCTTATGAGCAAAATAGGTTCAGACGATGTTCCCTTGCTTCTCAACTCCGATGGTTTCTCCTTTGGATCATTTCCTTTTCGGATGGAACTTATATGGTTAGCTGATAGGAATTTCTAAAAGCTTGCGGAAGATTTTTGGAAATCTACAAAAGTGGATGGTTAGATTGGTCATCAGTTGACAACCAAACTCAAGATCTTAAAAGAAAAGATTGCCAAATGGAAAAATGAGGTATCGAGTATTCAAACCAAATTCAGTTCACAAAGCAAGATGGAAGAGTTAGATGAACATCGGTTTTCTAGGTCTATCTTATTTGAGGATCAATTGAGAGAAAGACGTAATCGTGTGGGATGCTTTCACAGCTTGTAGAACTTGGAAGAGGTGTATTGGAGGCAAAGGTTGAGGATCAAGTGGTTAAGAGAAGGTAATCGTAATACAAAATTCCTCCACACTACTGCAAATTGTAGAAAAAGGGGAAATACTATCCTAAAGCTCAAAATTCAGGAAGTAAAGAGTAATAATGTAGAAAGAATTGAAAAACCCTTCTTGATCATTTTAAAAATGTGTTCTCAGGTGAAGGGCAGAGAAAATTTTCTATTGAAAATGTTCATTTGCAAAACTTGCCAATAAATAAAGCTCAATGGTTGGAATGTAAGTTTGAATTAAACGAAGTTAGAGAGGCAATTTTTGGATTAGAAAGAGATAAATCTCTAAGGCCGGATGGATTTTCAAGGAATTCTTATGAAGTTTTTGGGAAATTTTAAAGATAACTGAGGCTCATGCTAGATGAATTTTTTTTTGTGAGGTAAAATTAGTAAGGCGATGAATTCTATTTTTATAGCCCTTATCCTTTAAAAATCAGTGATTGAAGAGGTGGCATCAAGCCTATTAGTTACTTGGCAGTTTATACAAGATAATTACAAAAGTGTTAGCCAATAGATTTCGGGAGGTTATTCATTTGGTAGTTTTGGGGCGCCTCAGTTTGCCTTTTTAAAAGAGACAGATTATTGATAGTATTCTCAAGTATGTACATACATTCAGTCGATTCGTATGCCTTTTAAAAGTCAACTATGTATAGATGGACAAACTTTGAATAGCCTGTGAGTGGGACTTTGAATAGATGGACAAACTTTGAATAGCCTGTGGGCGGTTGAGTCAGTCGATTCGGATGCCTTTTAAAAGTCAACTATGTATACATGGAGTGAGTGGGATGGAAACAGAAAATGCCAATTTTCATACCACTTGCAAAACTTGGGTTTGGTTTCCACCAGTAACCCAATATGTTGGAATCCAAAGTGGCCCTTCACATTATGAGGGGAGCTTTTAAAAAAACTAAAAATCTATAGAAAAGCTAAATTCCTAAAAGTTTGCCAACATGGTAAATTCCAAAAAGTTTGTCAACATGGTTTCTATCTAGCAGTTTTCACTCGTTCTAAGTTTTCAGCAACAGACGAACATGGACTTCATCATTACCCTTCAATAAATAAATAAAAACATGTTTCCATGCAGCTGTGATTGCATGGTGCTGTAGCCTTTTGCACTGTCCCATAAAATTGGATAGGGCAAGATGCGCTGATAATATACTGTCTAATAGAAAACAGATTCCGTTAATGACTGCAGCCACATGCAACTGCAACTGCACCAAAACTCCAGCCATAAATAAATAAACAGTACATCTGGTTATCAAAGTGCAGACATAATTCTCGTAATCTTGGCCAAGAAACTTTGTTTATTGAAGTATTGTCATAAAAAAAAGGTATGTGAAAGTCATTTTTGCCCAAAATTTGATGGGAAGTTAAGATAAAACACTGTCAGACCATCAAAAGTTAAAAAGCAATTTTATCTTTTATAACCAAATAATAATCAAAATGCTGAAGTACTTAAACAGAAACGCCGCAAGTAAGGATAAGATAACTAATTAGTGCAGGAAAAATATCAAAGGACAGGAAATAGAACCCCCATTACTTTCCTAGAAGCAATCCAATGACATCCTGATACAGCCTGGAAGGAGATAGCCTTCAGAATAACAAAAAATTGTCCTGTTTGTGATGAAAAACCAAGGTCATCACATTGAGCTGTAATTAAACTCATCCAATAAATGCATTCAAAATTGAAGAGCCTCTGTTATTTGCTGAATCCATGGAACCCAAAGTCACTTTTTTAAGGGTCATAATCTCAAGGCAGCTTTTGCCATGGCAAGAGCACCTTCGTAAGTGTTGTTGCCTCCAATGAAACCACTCATATGCACAAATACACAGCCAGGAATGCCAGATTCATAGGGGAGTTCAGAATCTCTAAGACCTCTCCATGAGGAAGGAAGAGGCCTCCAGCTCTTGAATCTATCAGGAGCTATTGCAACTTTCTGGACTCTCCATTTCTTGCGTCTCTCGTCCTTCAGTTTTCAGATTAAGTTAAATAAGAATCAACAAATATATGATTACACCTGCCATCCAATGTTCCAGGTCTCTCTCTCTCTCTCTCTCCT